ACAGAAAACAATGAAATGGAAACTCTGGAACTGGTTCTGCCCAATGACTTCATCTAACATTTAGACGGATATACAATATTTTAAAAATAAATGCGTATTATGCCCTTTGTGTTCATCCCTTCTTATTTTTTGAGTCTTTTAATGAGATGCCCACTTTAGAAGCTTAGTCTTTGCTGATTAAGAAGAAAATTAAGATAAGGAGGATAGTAACCCAGAGAGAGATACAGAATTGGGCTGTACAGTGCTTAACAGAAGCATTAATTTCTAATTTAGATCCCTCAAACACAGTAACACTCCAAATGGATTAAATGAAAAGTCCTGATATGGCCCTAATTGTGAGAGTAGGAAAGAGCAGAAGTGCCCCCAAATATCTTTTGTTAAGTTCCCAAAGCTGGGTGAGGTGAACCTGATCAAAATGTATCATTGTCTGAATTCACCAGGAATGAGAAAAATGCATGCTTATAGACAGCAGAAAAGAGACTAGTTGCTGATTTGTCCAGAGCCTTTCCATCTAAAATACAGTGAACAAAAATGCAGCTCTTAGCCATAACTGCAAGATTCCGATGAGGTCCAAACACTGTAAGGATTGTTTCTGTTGAATTATCATGCAGGGTGTGCAAAATTAATCCTGTTTCTCTAGGATTTTATACTCAAGCCACCAGAATATCCAAATGGCAGAATCAGCTATCCTTTATATTGTTCCTTTTTTGGGTGTTTTTGAGTGTTTTTGAGTCTGCCATTTCTCCTCTCGAGTTTCCCGGTATTCAGCTGTTCTGCTTCACTTACCCTAAACTGCAATTCTGCAGCTGTGTTGTCTTGTAAGATGTCACATATCCTACAGAATTGAGGTCAGATGTTTATTAAGTGATCCAACACTGCAGTAGTTATGGAAATCATTATTTTCTCTTGTTTTTTTTTTATTATGACATATAATATCAGAGCTTAAGTTATCAGTTTGGTATTGGTAGTTAAAATGTTATACAAGCTCTGTGTTTAACTAAGTTTCTGACAGCCTGAAATTTTCTGCAATGGTAGGAATGCATTTTTCTGGTTGCTTATTTTAAAATGAAATTTAAAAATATCAAGCTTAATTTCTATAACTAGTCTTACATCAAGAATTCTACTCCATACTTCTGGTTTTAATAAAAAGTAGATTTGCAGTGTGATAGGAAAGGATGAAAATCCCAGAGGTCAGTAGAATTCCTTTGGTTTAAAATCCTCCAGTAAATTGCAATTGAATGGGGTTGGGGACTGTAATCTTTGAATAGTGACTAAAGTTTGTAATTCACTGCTCATATACAGTTCTTTGCAGGGTCTTATAGGAAGCTAATACCACAGGCTATATTACAAAGCCAAATACCATCATTAAATTTCTCTGTTTTGAATGTCTGCATGCTTGCTCCCCAGGAACAAATACTGCAGTGTACGCAATCCATTCTCATTACGTTTCAATAGAGAGCAAGAAAAGCATATGAATCCATTCTCATTACTGGTAGTCTTGTTATGTTTCAATACAGAGCAAGAAAAGCATATTACTTAAGGATGGGATTTTCAGTAGTGTCTAAATCCTATTGATTTTCAATAAGAAAGCTCCATTGTGTATCCTTCCTCTGCTACAGCCCTCAGTTAGTGCAAAGACACTGGCTGTAAAAACCTGTGTTGTCCTGAGAGTGACGGAACTAGAACACCTACTGTTTACTACTAAGTGTTATGCAGACCCAGACAGTGAACCATTAAAATTGTACATCTGCCTGAAGAAACATACAAGAGGCATACAAAAGCCCATCTCCCGAGCACACGTAAGAGAGGAAGATCCTGCAATGATCACAGTTAACAATTACCTTTAAGACACAGACTATAGCCATCAGCCAATATTATCAACCAGGTGTGGCAGACTGATGAATGCAAAGCTTTCAATATCTACACAGCTGCAGTTCTGTTGAAACCTTGATTTTCTGCTATGCAATTAATTTGTGTCTTCGTTTACCTCTTTCTCAAAAAGTCAATGTTAAAGAATTACATGGCCTTTTAGCACAGATTATACTAGGAGAGCTTTATTGTAGAGCGGACGGAACAATTGCATGGGGATCTGTCTTTGAAAGGGACTACTTGGCAGCACGCTGCCATTACCTTTCCCCGCCATATGCCCAAAGCCATTGCTACACAATACGTATTTAATTTCTTATATTCAAAATAGATTTGCAAAATTAACTGATGTCTTTTATATGGCGGTTGCTAGCTAGAAATTTAACATCCCCTTAAAAATAATCTAACCTTTATGCACTAATAACTTGTAAAAGCCCTTGTCCTGAATACCTCAAATGAAATTAAAAGAATACTTATATAAAAAGCCTTGCAAATTTTCTTCTTTATCACCTTCAAGTGCTGAAAGATATGATCTACTACACATATATAGCAGAGCTAGTGATCTCTGAGTTTACGTGGTACTATGGAAGCCAAGACTTTCTTTCATCTGGTGAATTCTCAACACAGTGAGGAATGAACTCACTATACACTGAGTTATATACTGACACAGACAGACAGGAAAAGAAGCAACTAAAAATATATTTGCTTCTCCAAGTTTAGTATGGAACAGCCTTCTTGTCTAAAAACCAGGTTCACTTTCTTTGTTCACTCTGTTGGTAGGAAGGAAGTAATGGTGTGGGAACGACGCCATTTTCAGGTCCTGCTCTGGACACCAAAACATCCCAATTTCACTCTGAGAAGCAAGAAACACTGCATATATAAATACTAAATTCTTCTTGCACTTTATAGTAATGGTGTGAAGTAGGAGTTCACAGATAAATCACCTGAAATATGGGTAAATAAGTATCACACGAGTGACGAGCACTGAAACCTACAGCCAAGATTCACAGGTTTTATTCTCAAATTCTGCCATGAGTTTGATGCCTCTCAACATTTAGTTTATTTTTCATGGAAGATTTTGAAAAAGTCAAAGAAAAACTGCTACAGATATTATAATTAATATTGATAAGTTTTCCAACCAATCTATAACCTGTTTTCTTAGTTCTACTTTTTTCATCTGTGGAATATAGAAAGCATACAAGGGTATGCTTCCTTATTGCCTAAATTATAAACAGTAAAAAAATGGCTTTTACAGAGAACTAGCCCATCAACCTTTTTTCATCCATTTCCAGTTAATTTATTTCTATAGTACTGAAGTGAAAATTTAAAAAAGATATTCAGTGTAACAATGAAGTTCACTATTTATAGCATATATGTGTAGTAAATGTCATGTAACTATATAGCTATGAAACTGATGTTTGTAGCACTAGGCAGCAAAGCTTCTTTAGCTTGCCATAAAGACACTTTTTTGGTATCCGCACTCTCTTATGAAAATAAAAGTAAAAATAAACAGTTACAGGCATACCATCAAACAAAACATGATGCAAAAATGTTATTAGATAATGATTGACTCTCTTGTCCATTTCCACAATGCAGCAAAAATTTGGTCATGGCAAATAATTTTTACTGTTTCACCACAATCTGAAAGGATATGTTAATTTTAGTTTCTTTAGCCTTAGGTTACTCAAAATGACTATCATAGCACACACTTAGTTTAATTTCAAAGCTTTAAAAACATTGCTGCCTGCACTACTATTCTGAGTTCATACACGTACAAAATCTCATTAGAGATTCTTTCCTATTAGAAAGTCATTTTAACGTTGTAATTGACCACAAGAATCCAGACTTTTGGGAGTTTAGCCTCAGTTGCATGTTTAACTGTATCTCACTCTTCGCCAAGAGTAAAGGATAATAAATGCACTACTGTGTCAAATAACCATGGATACATAGAAGAGGTATAGTGCAATATGGAAATGAGTGCTCTATCTTTGCTTACTGTGAGTGGATAATGTCAACAATTCCAAGGGTATTAGAAACAAATGTACTCCATTATTGGTAAAAAAACATATGTAGAAGCATGTTGCAATATTCACATGAGATGAGATGCAGGAGAAACCAGTGAAAATGCTACAAGTTATTCGCTGTAGATGAAACAGGTACAATAATCTCATGTGCATGGCATGTATGAAAAGACATGCAAAATTCTTCATTTCATATATATACCATTAATTAAAGATGTGCTGATGAAAGAATTATCATGGAGACAAAAATCTACTGCTGTTCATTTTATTCTCATATACTGTGAAAATACCATTTTCTTTGCTCAGAAATTAGCTATGAAGAAAAATACAGTACCCAGAGGGAAATTTCAGGCAGCAAAAACAATAAAATGAAATTAGTTAAAAATAACACTTCTGCAAAGAAAAATTTTTTACAAAAGGAAAGATGAAAATCTAATAGAGACTTTCACATCACAGAAATTTCGTCTTAACCTTTTTCAGATTTCTGTGAGACATTTCACAATTTATACTAATACTTCTAGAAAGGATTTTTTTTTTCTATAACCAGAACATTCTGCTAAAAGTGATAAAGCTGATTTAGACCAGTGAAGGTTTCATGCTAGACTTTCATGGAATTTTGTTGCAGGATAAAATAAAATTCTTCTATGTATGAGAGTAAGCTAATATTTTTGTCTTCTTGTTCCAAAGCTAACTGAAGAAGCCATGAGCATGGAAGTAGAAAGGATAAGCTGGACAATCATAGGACCTTCTGAAAAAAGGGAGAATTCAGAAACTGTGCATTCAACAGCACCAGCATAAGTGCTGCCAATGTAAAATGCCAATGCTTATGTAAAGCATAATATCCCTGCATCCTGCATTTCTTCAAAATGTAATGAGCCATCACTACAGTAAACATCAAATGAAACAAACCACAACTCCTTGAATTCCTCTGTATTTCAGGAAGAGACATGCAATCATGAATTCAAGTTCTACCCCTCTAAATTAGCTGCATTTCAGTGTTTGATAAGTCAACAAACAATCAGTTAACAAATCGACAGAGTCAGATGCCATTAGAGCTACAAGAAAGGTTAAGCATCAAGTTTAAAATGGATGCATTTTCATTTTTGTATTTACCTTTAGGTCCTTTGAACAACTTGATCTCTACCACGGTCTCCAGAATAGGTCTCCTTCGACGAACGTACAATCGTACTATGGAGCCAGCCTCTTTTAGGGCCTCCACGGCTTTGCTGTGTGAGACTTCTGACACGTCGACCTCATTCACTCGCAAGATGCAATCGTTGACCCTACAAGAAAAACCATAGATACTCAATGCTTCAGCTATTATTTTGGACCAAAGAGAGTTTTGTTAGTAGTGCTGTAAAATGAAGAACACTTCACTGGTAATTCTGCCAGACGACAGACTTAATGCAGTATGCTTCATCAGCAATGAGACAGAAACAGAACACTTAGTCCCTCCAAAAGACACACCTGATTCAAATTGAAATCTACCTAATCACCTACACGGACCATTCTCCTTTGCAAATTGGGGTAGAATCCATAGGGTGATAGAAATGAGTAATAAACAATTTGTGTTCACAGATTTCATTACCACACTTTTTACTAAATAACATAATCAGGTTACAACATTCATGCTGCATCCTGTTACTGCTACAGTTATTCTTAAGGAAATCTGTTGATTTAATTTATTACAGAGAAAGCGGTAATTGTTCAAATACCTCCTTAAACCTCACACATTTCTTCATCAGTGCCAATGAATTCTAAGTTGTCACATTAAAAATGCTGTCCTACAAAAAGCAGACAATTTAAGAGAGAATGTTTCATGCTAAATAATTTGAGTAAATATCATTTTTTATGTTTTCACCCCTGACTGTAGACTCAAAAGTCTGCTGAGTGGTAATAGTATCTATTTTTCATAGAATATTAATTAAATTCCCCCATATTCTTACTTTGGGCATTTACTACATTATCTGAGGATGAACTAATATATTCACCCTCAAAATGTCCTGGTTAGATGGAGTAGTAATCTCCTTATCTGTCAGATTTGTCCAAGTTGGAAAGGAAATCTACACCCTGAGAGCACTAAAACCCATCTCCAAAGCAGCAGGCTAATGACTCAACTACTGGGCCATCCTTTCTTTGCAAATGAGGGTGAGAAGAGCAAATTCCAAAGAACTAGATTAATTGAAACTCCATTGTTCTTATGTGAAGTGCATTCATTATGAGATGTCTCTAAGTATATTCGGTATAGAAGAAAAAGGCGTATGTATATGAATGTGGTGTTCTGCATGTCTGAAAGGACAATCAGTGAAGAAAACATGGATTGCTAAAAATATTCCCATTTCCGCTATATTTCTATACATAAAGATCAACTATCGAATGTTACTCTTCACATCAAAAGAACACTTGAGCTGGGTATTGCTCAGGAATCTTAGCACTGAAGGGAGAATGAAGCTTTACCAAAAATTTATCCGAACTCTAAGAATTTATGATGGATTTTTGTTCTGTTCTTGTGCTGCTGTTTCTATGTAAAACAAAACCAAATCAAACCAAACAAACCAAACCAAACCAAACCAACAAAAAGACCACAACTATTTGAAACCAAAGACTTTCTGTGTTATGAGCCTTTTGGAAGAACATTTACAGGGGAAAATGTTGATAGCAGCCTTGATCTGTCGAAGTTGGAAAGGACACAAAATTAATGCTTCCCTTCTGATAAAAAGTGCTGTATTGCTAAGTTTCCAGTTTTCTGGGTTTGTTGCTTTCCTTCAATTCCAGAAGTATTAATTTTCCAAATGTTTAATTGTGTGGTTTGGATGTCTAATTAATAAGCACTCTAGTATAAATTGCTTTATTTTTTTTAATAAATCATGAATACATCCTGCTAGTGCTTCCCACTCAGAAAGAAAATAATTATGTCTAAGCTGCTACTCTTGCTACTAATGGTGCTATATATCTGATTGTTGTCAAATTTGTGACTCTTATTGTTACCATATTTGGAATACAATGGGTTGTCCCATGTTTAATGAACTAACTATAAGTTCTCAACCATTGGAAGGTTGTGATGATGAAAGAGCGGGAAGATTATAAAAACACAAAAAATGAGGATTACATTTATTTTGCTTTCATATTCTCTGTGCCTTGCATTGGCAAATATTTGTATTACTAGAAAACTTTATCTACCTAAAATCTATCATAAAGGCTCTAGTGATGCCTCCTGTTAAGGGAAATAACACGTCTTCTGGAGAAAATCTATAAACAACATGGAATTAACTTGTCTGAATCAGTAAGCCTCACACTGCCATTTACCGAAAAAGCAAGACGTTTTGGAAAAGGACATTTACTCTCTAACAGAAATCTCACTTTGGTGTCTAAAATTTGGCTTTTTAGAGTTATCTACTTCGTTAAAACAAGAAGACTATCTTTAAAAAAACATACACACATTAGTACTGTTGGTGTAGGATGAATATAAGAGTGAGAGAATACCAAGCTGACCCAGTGACAGAAATACTTTCATACGAAGTATTTTGTTTGTATACAAATACAAACTTTTTCAGTGCAGAGGTAGCAGGACAACAACTATCCTATCCAGTCTGCTATGACAAAAGTATCCAGTGCCAGATACCCAGCTATACCCTTCCAAACCTGTAGGCTCTTTTCCTCCCCTACAAACAGAGATGAGTTTTTTAGTTTTTGTAAATAAAGGAAACACAATACTCAAGAAGTCATGCTCATGCATAAAAGCATGCACATATGTATGTGCCTACAGAGTTCTTTGGGCTTTACCAAATTTTTTTTTTTGAGGACATGCTGACCCAGTGCTAGATCAATAGAACTCCATGATCTCAGAGCTCTGCAAATATTCTTTGCAGATATTCAGACCTCTGAAACAGCGGGTCCACGGTGCAATGAAATAAATGACATAAACTGGTGAGATTACTCTAACCCTAACCATAATGGCTAATTGATAATTTTATTATTATTATTATTATTATTATTATTAATAATCTAGAAACTCCAGAATCTTTTTTAAATTTAGAAACATAGATGACTTGAAAGATAAAACCAAATCATTATTCATTAAAAAATAAGAGAATTTCAGAGGAGAAAATAAAACAAAGCTGAAGCAATATCTCTATACACAGACTATGATGTCATATTTTTCTCCTTAAATATATGCAGAAGGTATTCAGGGTCAATATCTGGCATTGTTGTTATAACCTAAAGACAGAAGTCTGTGACAGTGGGCTTAGGATACTTTTTCCTTCTATTTAAACTTTTACAGTACAATTCCTACTCTGTAAGAACTCTGCTCTTTTAGTGACCTATAAATGTTGCAACAATATAATAAAACAACAAAATACTAATAGCAAAAAAGGTCATCAAGTCCAGTTTAAGAAAATTCTTTCAGATGATCAAGTGTATGGTCTTACCACTTAAGGGCAAAATTATTTTGCTCTTGCAAACAGCTCTCCAATCTGTTTTCCTGGCTTCAGTGAGATACTCAAGTGACAACTAAATGGTGAAAGTGTATTCCAATTGATAAACGGATTCCTTTCTCCATTTATCTCAAAATCTTCCTAAGGCCTGTAGGCGGGTGTAAACTACATATAGAAGTTAGCTTCAGGCACAGTTTCAGACCTGTGCCAAGCAGATGTGCCTCATAATCCAAGATAGTAATACACAAGTCCAACAAAGAGATCCCTAGAGTTTCACCAATACTTACTGTAATTCACCACAAAAAAATCCAGATGGGAGTCAAATTGTTCCAAGAAGGCTTTCTTTGTTTCCACAACCAGATACCATAAATATATTTTTTTTAATTTTAAAGCATTTATCTAACAGTCTCAACACTTTTAAATTATTACCGTTGTACTTGTAAACCTTAATGCCATGCACTTCTCTGAGTAAGGTCTATTCATACAGATATTTTTTAAGATTGCAACAAAATGTCAAAATTTCTAATGGATTGTAAAATCACTACTGAGAGAGAAAGCAGAAAAGGATGTTGTATTCTAAGCTATGCCTAATGACTTCTGCAACCATTAAGAAACTAGAGGAAATTATATTTTCTCTAATTCTGTACAAAAAGAACTCTTAAAAATTATTCTTAAAATGTAGAACTTTATTTTCTAAGATTTAAAAATATAATCTCAGCATTTGCTGATGATACAAGTTCAAGGAATTCTTGACTAAATTGACTTCTTTTTCAGTGAAAAGCGACATGAGATTAGAAGTATTTTGGAGAATACATGTGTTGTGCTGAAAAAAAAAAGGATGAAAATACGTTCTAACCATATTTTAAAAGTTCATAAGCCTAAAAGCAATGTTCATGCTATTGTTTTTTTGCAAAAAGAGGGACTTGATATCTCAGTTTACCACAGCAGAGAAGTATTTGATTAATTTTTGAGGTATAAGTAATCCTGTTACTATTTTAGCCAAAATACTCAAATTGGCATTTAGCATTATGCATATACTGAAATTTATTCCAGTCTATAAAATCACCTCTGCAAGTAACAGCTGAGTTAAAATGAGTTAGGCAGCTCTTCCCATGGCATGCTGGCTCATCTAAATACTTTAACAAAAGGAATACATCCTACTACACTTTTGTAGTATAATTTAGATACGAAGGACCCCAGATTATAAAACACAGAGCACATGCTATAATTGTGTCAAGACAGTCACAAATAACATGAGAAATATGAGACAGATTTTGCCATTAAAGGGGAAGGTCAAGGACACAGATGTTTAACAATAGTTTTTGCTATCTTCAAAGCAACTAAGGAGTTGGATTAAGGAAAACTAATATTCTTTAAGGGCTTATTCCAAGTTTGTTCTAAACCTCACTACCTCCATCTGAGTTTCATGCTTACTGTTTTCAAGAAACATCCCTGAAAAGCTGATAATGGCTGCAGTCAAGTTGTAAGTAAACAAGACCAGTACAGGTCTTAGGCACTTTTTACATATATATTAGGCGACAACCGGTAATCACCATTCTGTTCACTAGTTCTGTGCAATAAGGTGCCCTGAAGAGAAACCCAAAGCAGCTTAGAACGGCAGCAAAGAGCCCCAGAAGACCAAACGGTTCTGCCAAGACACATTAGCCCACTTGCAGCTCCATAAAGGAGACAGTTGGAACCAACTATGGACTCGAGAGCAAAGGAATGGTCTGTACTCCGTGGGACAACATCATGACACCAAAAGCTGCAGTAATCCATCGGTTTTAGCTGTCATCCAGGCACCTCCAGGCTAACTGGTTATCTACTTATGATACAGCCCTTCTTTG